TTAACTCTAAACCTCAAACCCTAAAATCCCAAACCCTTAACCCTAAACCCCAATATCTTTCGGTGACCAAGGCACTCCGCTTGAGTCAGGAGACGGCCCTTCTGCGTCACCTCCTTTGGCAAGTTTCGGGTCTGCTGGGTCTTACTGGCTGTTAGCAGGGAATAGGGGAATGTAATCCCTATGTTACCCGTGTATAACCTCCGTAGAACCCCTGTGTCGTAGCCTAATGGCACTCAGGATACCAGCGGTCCTTTCGTTCAGAGAATCGATCCACGAGTGCGTCGGCATGCTCACGCATGACCAGAGTGAACCTAGAGTTTGGGGGTTTAGGGGTTTAGGGGTTTAGGGGTTAGGGTTTGGGGTTTAGGGTTTAGGGTTTGGGGTTCAGGGTTTAGGTGTGGAGTCGTGGAGTGGTGGAATTGCTGGGAGTGAGTCACTGGCACAGCATCAATCCAAAACTGCCTGCCTTTGTCAGTTGGCAAGCTCACTTGAGTCCACGAACCCAATGGCACAACATGACCAACTACAAGCATGACGTATCTTTGCATACACTGCTCAGACTTCTATTTGGGTATCCGTTACAATCAAGGGCCTGACTTTGACCCTCGCAAGAATAATTACAAGGACCACCAGGAAATGCCTTCCCTTCTCTGGTCCAGTGAACAAAACTGAAAAGAACAAAGTTGGAATCATGGCCCCACGTCAACAATTCCCTAAAGCAATGGAGAATAGCGGAATGGATTCCAGGGATCCCTGTCAAGACCATCGTCCTAGTCATAAGGGAAGAGACCATAGGCATCCGTGGCAGCAGTCCTACTGAGCAATAGGCTACTAGGGAGACAAACCTGGAAGGGCTTCCTTGAAAGGAGGTCCCCTACTCAATCAAGCTGCAATCGATCTCTTCAATCTCTCTTCAACGCGAGCTAAGAGGGCCGAGAGACTTGTAAAACTCTTCCATCACATCCACGACGCGGTCGCGAAAATTTGAGTCCTTCATCCTTCCGTCATCATCAAACTCTTGCCACGCCTGTCGCGCAATGCTGCTGCGTTTCCTCTCAACTGGCTTTCTTGTCCCCAGCTGCTCTAAGTGAAGCAAAATGTAGAGCCAACGAGGTGCTACAGAAGAGGCCTGTGAGCTTCTTACAAGAGGAGCATCCAGATGTCGAGGCCCACTTTCAACCCATAATGTTATGGAATCCCTGGTGCATCCTTACGACTGCATTTATCCGAAGCCCACTATACTTTCTGAAGAGCAACTCCTCGCTGGAGGCAGCCTCGAAGCAAGAAAAGCAATCCTGAAAAAGGCGGCATGCAGAATCTGTCCCACTCTGTCTTGCCTGCCTTGGGAACCGAAGACTGGTTCGTACAGCATGGCATTCGCATCCACCTTGCGAGCCTTCTCAGCTCATTGACGACATTGAAGCTCCTGGTCAACAAGAAGCAACGGTGGTCCGTGTGAGCATCATTGGTGCGGAAAAGAAAGTGGCAAGAGGAGAGGAGGAGACAGCAGGAGCTGGGGCAGCTATGGTTGTAGCAGTTGCCCTTCTCATCAATAATGTTGTAGCTGTTGTAGTAACCACAATAATAAGTGCAGAAGAAGGAGAGAGGCACCAGCAGCAACAACAGCACCAGCTGTCGCAGCAGCAGTGGTAGCACCAGTAGCAAGAGTAGTAGTCGTCGTCGCCGCCACAGTCGTCATGGTCATCGTCGTCACCGTCGCTGCCATCGTCGTCGTGGTCTTCGGTGGCAGTGAGGCGGAGGAAGAAGAGGAGAAGTGGGAAGGGGAGTAACAGAAAAAGTCGGAATAAGAGTATTGGAAAGTGGTGGTAGTGGTGGTGTCGTCGTCATCGTCATCGCCACAGCTAGTGTAGTGTTGCTACTAGCAACAGTAGTCGCGGTAGAAGCAAAAGAAGAAGTAGACGAAGTAGATAGAACTGGGAAAGCAGAGCTGCAGGTAGCGGTAGAAATAGAGAAAGAGCAGCACCAGCAGCAGCAACAGCAGCGCAAGAGGATCCGGACAGACACCATGGGCGAGACTGGACGAGCGCTCAAGAGCATACCTGCTGCATTGATATGCAAATCGCATTGGCCGCAGCAGCCGTAGCAGCAGCAGTAGCAATAGCGGTAGCAGCAGCGGAAATGGCAGTCGCAGGAGAAGTACAGCAGTCATAATAATTGGCAGCCACCGCTGCTTTCTGCAGCTGGAAGCCACCCTGGCAAGTTTGCCTTTTCTGAAGCTACGCCTGACCGAACACGCAAGAAGCCCAGAAGTGCTCCCCAATTATCACTCGCAACAAGGAATACGATGACAACCATTTTCTTTCGCCGTTGCAGCAAATTTGGGCGTTCCTATAATAAGGACTATAGCATTTGGAGGTCTAGATTGGGGTCCCCCTATCTATAGAAACTACAGAACCCTAAACCCCCCTAAGCCATCTGATCACACCAATGCCAGAAGTCACTGTCGAGTGGCTGGCTTCCACCATTTACTTGAAGGACGACGCAGGTTCGCCCCTGACAGGCTGGAACCGGGAGAGCAGCAACAAAACTGGGGGTAGGCTATAGGGGATATATAGGGGTATCTAGGGATAAATAAAGTTTAGGGGTTAGGGGTTAGGGCTTCCCAAAATTAGGGGTACATCTTTGGGGTCCGTATTATAAGGACTATAGTAATATTCTGTGGGTCTATATTGGGGTCCCCCTATTTAGGGACTTAACCACATGACGGGGAATGCCGACTTTGCAACATGCCGCGCTATGGAAGGCAGAAACGTTGGGCCATTGCTTGGGAAAGGTGCAGGCAGCTGTGGCAGGTACCTAAATCCTTAGTACGGGGACCCTAGACAGGTACCCCCAATTTTGGAAAAACCCTAGACCCTAGTCCCTAAACCTTTTATATCCGTGTATGCCCATATATATATATATGTATATGTATGCCCTGAAACCCCTTTGAGGTACCCCTCAAAAACTTGTCTTTTGGAGTGCGGCTGCCTGCGTCGGTCGGACGGAGCCAGTGTTGAGCGGAAGCCAGTCGATTTGATTCCTGTAACTCACTTGGCCTATGGCAAAAATGTTGTTCTTAGTTGTTCCTTAGAAATATACTAACCTAAACCTTAAACTACCCTGAACCCTAAACTCTATGCCCTAAAAGAAACAGGTCCTAAGAGGATAACGAGATTCTTGAAGGCTCCGGTGACACACCTGGGTTGCTGATAATGAACTTAAACGAAGCTACCATGATAGGGGTACATAGACAGAAGGGGCTGGTTCCTTATTATAACACCCCTAGACCCTAGGCCCTAAACCCTAAACCCGGTATACCCTTATTTTTTGATGTTATAGCTTGATTTCAGTTCCTTAACAGCAGCTCAGACACCCATGCATCTCGGGACTCACCCAGACATGGCCCTCGGACCACTTCGACAGGTTCCGCAGCTCCTTTACAGTTTGGGTTTAGGGTTTAGGGTTTAGGGTTTAGGGTTTAGGGTTTGATTTCAGGGTTTAGAAGACCTAGGATTTAGAGTTTTTGGCCTAGGGCTTAGTGCTTAAATAGGGTTGAGGGTTTAGGATTTAAGGCTTAGCTCCTGCACCTTCGGGTGGTCCTCCAGAGCCGGATCCCGCACCTAAAGTCACAGAAATCCATCATGATTGGATTTAGGGTTTGAGGTCGAGGCCCACACTACCTGTAAACGGCATCATTAGCGACCCTCTGAAAAGTCCCCGAAGTTTTCAGAAACTCCCGAAGCCGCCGCGGCTACCCCCTAACCCCTTAAAGTTTACAGTCGAAGCCCTAACCCCCTAAGTGTCCTAATCCTGAAGCCCTTGAACCCCGAGACCCTCAACCTTAGAAACCCCCGAAATGCTGCCGAGCAGCTGGCAGCCCTTGGGGGCAAAACGTTCTTACCTCTGCGCCAAGAACCTCTGGACTGCTTTTTCTAGTTGGTTTAGTGGCTTGCGGTAGAGGTTTGGGACGTTTGAGGGTTTCAGGCTAGGTCCGGGTGCTCACAGTTCTGAATCCATGTCAGCAAAAGCACGCTAGAGCCACGTAGAGGGGTAATGGAGAGGGTTTTCTAGCATTTCGCAGGAAGGAGGTTCTCAAGATGATGAATGCTTTCTGGGCACTGTTAAACTTCTGGGGCTAGGGTTTAGGGGGTTTAGGATTTAGGGTCTAGGATTTAGAGTTTAGGGTTTAGAGTTTAGAGTTTAGCTCGCAAAAAGGAGGGGACAAAGCTACAAAGACGCCATTGCTGCTCGCCTCAAGAAGACGAGCGCACTCATGGGCCAGCTTACCTGGCAACCGGATGAGTGGAGTATCTGTGGACAACAATAATAGCCATCGTAGAAAGAATAATGATCATAGAAATCATCGCAATAATAGTCATAATAGCAATCATTGTAATAATAGTTGCAGTAGTGGCAATAATAGTTGCAAGAATCGTAAGAACAGCAATGGTAATAGTAATGCTGCGGAACACTCCAAGCTGTCAGATCACTCTCTCCCAAGTCCATGTGCCTCCAACCCCTGTTCATCATCTTACGTTTAGCACCAGAATCAAGCGGTGCATGTAGAGCCAAGCTGCGCGAGAAGGAGCTGGGCCTCAGCGATCCGCAGATGACCAGAATCCTGCCAACAGCAGCTGGACTTGCTAGCCGGGCGTTGTGTGGCTTGTGGAGCGTAACACTCTTAAAGTATTGAAGAATTTGCTTGGCTGCTTTCTTCTGTTTGCAAAGGCGCATATGCTGCAAAAGTTACTGCCTGGCAAGATTCAATTTCTACCCGATGCAGACGAGGCTACACGGCCGACAGGCTTCTGAAGACAAAGATGAGCAAGTTCTCATGCTGGAGAAGAAACACGGTCCCTCCCTTCCGCACTCGTTATCCTTCTAAGAAATCCAGAATCGAGAATCGTCTAGAGTGATTTCTCTCGATACCGAAAACAGAGCATCTGACCCGATCTTCCACACTCCTGGGCGGGTGCGTGAACTGCGCACTCGGCACCTGGGGCAAACAAGAACCGCATGCGGGCTCACAGTGCAAATCTGCCTCACGCTGCACGAGATCATATGTCCAAAGAGGCTTCAGCGGAAGACTTCGCGTTTGCGCACGGTTCTACAGAGTCAGCATTGAAGCCTTTGGCCTCATACTCGTGGTTGGTCTGTCATCTAAGTTAAGAGTAACTTGAACATTCAAGGAGCCTTGACGGCCTCTCCCATTCCATTCTCCCATTCCAGCAGTGCCTACTTAGCTGCAGCTGTGCAGGATACAACTGTTTAGCGGCTTGGAGATGTCCGAAGAATCACCCTGCAACAGGAAGGAATCCTGTGGCAAAATAAAAACTTACTGAAGACAGTGATATGACTGCAGAAGCCCCAGACAAGATCCCCAAGTGGAAGCCTCTGTGCATTACAACCTTACGCAAATACCCACCCCCCATTGCAAGCACTGTAGATTTTGTAAAAGAGCCCCAGCAATCTAATATCTCTCCATTATGGGGGATAATACAGTAAAACTAAACCCTAAACCCTAAGTTCCTTAATTTAAGTTCCTTAACTGCAGCCCAGACTATCTCAAAACAATCCCCCTTGGGCCTTGAAGGCCGCCGCCCCAGAGAGATCAGCGCCCTGCTCGCCGTTTGGATCCGAGAAAACCTGGACGAAGGGCTACAACGCTGCACAGAACCTTTGGCAGACAGTCACCTGGCATGTAGGAGCAATAGTAGCGACGATGTCAACAAGGTAATGATGAGGTGTGATCTCGATCGAATAAGGATGGCAACAGCGGCTAACGTTAAGCCCTATCATTAACAAGATGACCCAAACTTACAGTGTAGCAAAGGCTTGCTTGCGTCATGTGATCTGCGCGTCATGTGATCTGCCGTTGTGCTGGCAGCTAAACTTGCAGAACAGCCTACTCCGCGTACCTCGAGGTTCTTCCCTGATTTTTGTCTGACTTGACACCCATCACTGCCACGCCGGTCTGACTGAACAAATACCAAATTCCTGCCTCATTGACCCAATCCGTGCCAGGGCCACTGCCAGGAACGTCTTTCCTTGCTCTATAGTCTCAGCCGAAAAGCAGGCCCTGCCCTCAGCAAAAACAATGTGTCCTAGAACACATCCTCACCTGATGGAAACGGGAACCCTGAGAATTTGCTTGGACTACAAGATTCTACGTTCCTGCCAGGCTCATGATCCGTTCTATTCTTAGGTGAGTATCCTTCAGCAAGGCTTACCGGTAGCTAGCGCAAGGTACGTAACAAACAATTCAATGGCCTTTGCTTGGTGACTTGCTAAGTTGGGGCATGAGGCTCCTTTCTGTTGCTTCATCCGTGCAGGATAGAATCACTTGGGTTCTGAGCTTTGATGAGCTTTGGATTTAGGTC